ACATCCTTTGATCCATGATTTTATTTGGGTATTGTCATCTCTCTTTGTCTATCCTTAATTGTTTATGTCGGATGACACCATATATAAGTAACTGTTGAGCTTTGAGAGGCATTTATACAGACATGGAATCTACGTGTATCAAAATAGATCTCTTCGAATTGAAATATTTGTGTTTTGCTACTCAGCATGTTCCAGATAATATACCAAATAGGTAAGTACTTATTTTGTTTTTGTGGGACATGTTTTTGGGTGCATGCAGACGAACTTACTCTTAATTTCAAACTCCACATATTTCACTACTGTTGTATTCAATTAAAAATGTGTTAATGTGTACATTATAATTTACACAAAATGGCGGACCGTTAATTATGTGTTTTGTATATTAATAATCATAATTTAATTTATTAACACTGTCACGAAACAAGTACATACAGATAAAACGCTTGCTGGTTTAAAAGATATTTAGATAGAAATAAAGCTTAAATTTATTGGCGTGTTTGGAAAAAACATCAAATGGAAGGGTTATTTCAGTATTAATCATATGAATACTAATTTCATGTTATGGTCTAAAATCACTTGTGTGCACCAAACTATTGAAAGTGTTGCAAAAGTGTGAACTCGACTCTATACTCTATAATTTGTTGACTGGGAGTCAACAACTAATAATTAATAACTTAATTTTGTGGATTATAGAGGGATTCTGATGTATAATTAAATTTTCCAAAATTTGCCCGAAACATTCGGAATTACCAAAAATGACAAAAATCAGAGTTTTCGGATTATTTTTGGCGAAAACTTGCAAATTGTTATACGACAGCACTTCGAGTTGTGCAATTTTCTGCTATAGAAATTCCTAACCGTTCATCCGCTATCGCGACAAAGGCAAAATTTAGCAAAAATACATCTTGTCCGCCATTTTTAATCCAAATGTTTTCAAACTTATTTTGCATTGTCACTTTGAAAAATATCTAAGTCCTCTAGAAGCCCTTTTTTTTTCTAATTTGGACTTTGCCTCCGCACAATCACTGGTCAAAGTTTTTTCTGATAGGTCTTGAATACGAAGGCTGATAACTTTTAACCTTGACCTTCTTCGACTCTTTACCTTCAGCAAAAATAGCGTCTTTGGATCTACGTTCATTTGATACCTTCATTTGTCATTTTGGTAGATTACTTTTGATTTTATGGGGTTTTGAAAATGAATTATTTTCCCAAAATTCGTATTTGCAATTTATAAGAGACATTGCTAGTTTGAGTTCTAATTAAGATATCAAAAAAATTCCAACGGGTAATTAAATTGCAAATTCACATCTTCAATTGGAAGTATGTTAAAAATCAAAATGAAAATATTTTGCAAATTAAATGAATAAAATTACAAAATCAGATTAATTGTTCTCTGGCTAAATTACAGGTCAATGGTTCAACTCAACAGTCTATTATCCATATAACTCAAG